AGCTGGGTGAAGAGGAGTGCAAACTCATTTGCGGATGGGTTGGCCAAGCAAGGAGTGAATAGGGAGGCTGTTTTTTGGGCTAGTTTTTAATTTTCTTTGCCTGTGTTTTCTGTTTTTGGGGAGCTAAGTTATTTTATCTCCCTTTGTATTCTTTTCCCTCTCTTCTCTTAATTTAATGAAGTTGATGTTATTGATAAAAAAAATTAATTTAATGGTTTCAGATAATATCCATCATATGCATTTATTGAAACAATGCCCAGCATATTTTCAAACAGTAATAATGTATCTATGCATGCTTGTCATAATGTCATTGTGAAACTTAAGTCCCACCTCAATTACATGAAATGTATCAAGTTGCAAACAGAAGAGACTGACTAATAAATAGCGTAAATCATATGTTAATAAGAATACAAATTTTGTGCCTTCATAAGAAAGGCAAAAGTTTAATATCGATAAAATTAAGTTGAGACTCAAAATCCAACATGCACATATTGATTAAAAAAGTCAAACATGCACACAATGAATTATTATGCTTTTATGATATGAAAAATATTTACCAGGCCCTAAAATATCCAAACGTAATGTCTTCTTAGAGATTTAGCAAGTGGATTTTACTTCTTAATTGACTCTAATATATGAAGAAATGAGAGAGAGAGAGAGAGAGAGAGACTTTTCATGTATAAAAGAACCTTATTTTAATATAGTTGATATACAAAAGAACCTTAGTAATAGCTATATTGTCATGTTCATCTTCATCGGGCAGTATGCACAATAAAAAATGCAGAGATAAATCAAGGGAAGGGATATGCACCATTGCACCCTATACTGGATCCTCTTCATTTGACTCTTTCTTGGCATCCAAAGTGATACGGTTATACAAATCCAAATAAATACCCAGTAAAAGGCATAAAGTTGTACACCTAGTATTCCTCAGTTCCTACCTCACTAAAATCATCTTCCCCAAATGTTCCCTTCATCCCTCCCCCCCCCAAAAAAAAAAAAACCTATAATTAAGGCTACCTGGAAAACAATTTCCTTGAATGGATATGTTAGGCTCAGGCAAGACCTTAAAGAAATAACTAAAACCACTAATGCACAGAGAATCCTAAGGCTGTGTTTGGTTGCAATGCAAATAATTTGCACTGATGCAAAACCATGACAGTGCAAATGATTTGAATGTAAATTCTGACCTATTTTTGTTTCAAATTTTAGCTTATTTTGTTTGATTGCATTACAAATGAAGTAAATTAAGACGTGAAGCAGAATAAAGTAAAATCCAAAACAAAATTAAACAAGAATATGCATTTTTTCGTTTGCACTCCCATGCATTTGTACTAGTGCAAATAAATTTGCACTGCAACCAAACACGGCCTTGATGAGGTCATTCAAAAACTTCAATGGATATCATCATCAAAAGAATCATGATGATCTAACTTTGGTGGAACCCAGCTTGATTTTGTCCATGCAAATGTAAGCTCACACATCCTCCAATGACAAAGCACTATCAGATTCTTATGATCACATGCAAATACAGAATGTAGGTCTCTCCACAAGCATAATTATCAAAATTTTATTACCTACATTTTATATCATGAATCCCAAGGCTGCCTCTATTTGAATCTTATGTTCAATCATTTTCCAAGATAATATAATAATTGATGTTTCAATTGTACAATTCGACCCATGAATCTAAAAATTAGATGGTTCATATGATTGAAATCAAACCAATTGAGACTGAGTTCTCTACTTTGCCACTCTTTGTTTCTTTTAGTTTTTTCATAAGGTTTTTTGTTTTTAAATACTTTAGATTTAATTCAACCTTCTGTACAATTTTCAGAACATTGTACACGAACACCTGGCAAAGAACTTGTAAGCTGTAAACCAATATTAAATCTAAAGTGGGAGCACAAAATAGCGCATACTTGATTAAGGTGAGAAGAGAATTTCTCGTTCATGTTTTCAAGGATATCAACGGATCTCTTATCAAAGTCCACCACTTAAACGACATAATTCTTGAAGCTCCCTCAAACATGACTGGTCTTCTAAGAGAGACTTCATCCTTCAGTTATAGAAGACTAGGACTTCCACATTATCAGATGAAGCTTCACTCTTTCCTAGTTCTCTCTACAGATGATGAATGAAACCATAACAGCACTACCTAAAGATCTTCATTCCCACAGAAAATGCAGATTAGTGTCATGAGGCTGTATGCTCAAGTGCCAGATGGCCATAGAGTTCATTATTGTCTTCATGATCAAATCATTGAACAATCACTTAGGGCATAGTATGCAATTCTTGCTCATCTTAGACCTGAATAGACACCAATCAAATGATTTCTTTCATAAAATAGTTTCAACTTGGAAAATAAAGCAACAACAGAATGGATTTTCCATTCTACTCCAATATCAACAATTTCATCTTACAAAATATAAATATCATTCAAATTATTCCACGTAGGTATTGTATCTTTTGATAGATTAGAATATTCCCAATAACAATTGCCATTACAGAAAACTGACCTTTTATTTAACCTAGTGATAGCTGAAAAAAGCATTGTCCAATATGCATTAGTCTTGAAAAATTATCATTAATCATGAGTAGTGTTTTTAATAAATACTGTCAGTCTGTCATTTGAGAGGATCACCTCCCAGTTGAGAGTTTAATTGTTTAAATCCTAACAAAGTGCATTAACAATCAACCCTGAAAAATGTAGTAATTTAAGTCACTTCTGATTCCTCAGGACCTTATAATTATAAACAACAAAACAAGAAAGAACTGTTTTGAGATTTTCAGATTTCGACCCGTCTCCATAGATTACATCAAATCTAAAGGCAAGGACAGCACCTGATATGTCAATCTAGCACTTTGTCAAACTTTTCAGAAGGCAATGGGTCACTCCTAACTCTTTTACCTCCCTTATTAATGCCTAACTGGCCAAGGAGTTTAGTAAGAAAAGGGAGAATTTTGTGGATCTTTCAAACTACCTTATATATTGGTGTGCTTGGAAGGAAAGAAACAAGAGGGTTTTTGAGTAGGAACTGGTAGATGCCATTCTTGCCTCTCTGGAATGATTGAACATCTTATATTCTTCTGGACCTATATATTAGAGGAATTTAGAGGTATGGATTTCGGAAACCCTGATTGGAAATAGAATCATTTTTGAGGACCACAGTGTATAGGAGCTTGGTTGCTTGCTTCTGCTGTATATGGCATTGAGTATATAGCCATACTCATGTAGTGGTGCCTACTTAGTACATAGCAAATATTTCTATAGTAGGGCTGCCTCAACCCCTTTTTATGGTTTTTCATTCCATCTTAACAAAGATATTACTTACAAAAAAGTGAACAATGATCAAGTCAGATTGTTCCAGAATGCACCATAAATTTATAGGCAGGATGCATGATGAACTGCCACTGACACTTGCAGCTTGGTTCTGTAAGACTTAATAGAAAACAGGTTAAACCACACAAATGCATTCAAACCCCACATCCACAACTACCCTAAATGTCCACACTGTAAGGTTGCAAGTCAGCTAGAACTACATGATATTGAGCTACGATAGTGAAAGAGGGAATTTGCGATCTACCACCATATGCCATTGCTAGCAGAAAACATTTTCAGGGCTAATAAAATCAACTCTGTTATGCTCACAAGAATTTAAAGCTAGGACAAAAGCAATAATTAACAAAATATGGTTATATCAAGGTATATCAGTTACAATAACTACATAATCAAATTTCTTCCTGAAGATCAAATGGCCATAAATGAAATCCTCTTCTCATACAATTGCAGCACAATTTCAGAAAAAGAACTTTTAGGTATTAAACATAAGAATTCATTAAAAGAAAAAAAGAGAATTACAAGAATAGGTGATAAAGAATCACCCTGAAAAAGAGAACAATAAACACCCCAATTGCTCCTTTTTTATCAATAAAAAAATTCATTGAATTCAATTATGAAAGGATTACATACAACCAAAGGGAGGTAAACTGTCTTAACTCCCCCACAAGCAAAAAAACAGAATTAGAAATAAGCCCAGATCATAGAATCCCTATCACCCCTTGCTTAGCTAGCCCGTCAGCAAAATAATTTGCTGTTCTTTTAACCCAACTGTGCTTTACTTCAATATCCTTTGCCAACCATTTAAATTTTTTCCTCTCATTGCTGTATTTCCACATTCCAGGCTTATCTTCCTTCAACCAGCTTACCACCACCTCCGAATCTGCTTCAATAATCAGCCTCCTAATATCCAGGTCTCTTGCTCTTTGAAGCCCTTCCAAGGCTGCTGATATCTCAGCCCTAAGGGAGTAACCCTCTCCAAATGGGCCGGATAATAAGGCTAGAGCATTCCCTTCAACACCCCAATTGCTCCTTCAACAGCCACAACCCCATCATAATCAAACCCAAGAGCACAGAATTATTAAACACACAATTAAGACAAGCTTTGCAATCAGGAACTAACACTGCTAACAGAATTAGAGAACATGGATACACCTACCTTCTGATAACCCTCCTTTCACCATGCTTACAAAAGCAAGTACACACCCTCCAAACTTCATTAATCCCCTCATTTCTTTCTGAATGAAAAATAATGTTCTTATCCTGATCCCAACTGCTTGCCAAATCCACTTATAAGACTATATGTTTCTCATTATATCATTTCTTCTAAGTCCAACAACACTTTTCTGGTATTTTCCTCATCACCTGTAAAGAATAAATACAACATATTGCCAAGCTGGACTTCCTTAAATCTATTTCCTTTCCAACATGAAAAACTTCCACGGCTATGATGAAATGATCACCATCCTCCTGCTCCTTGGCTTCTCCCATTTAACGTCCCCAACCATCAACATATTCCTTTCGCTTTTTTCTATGCTCACTGTTAATGGTCTGCACTCTACAATTATACATTCTTGTTGACTTGTAGTCTAGGTAGGCATAATCCCTACCCTAAAATGTGATTGAAACATCAAACAACATAACTGCTTTTTTTCTACAGGATAAAGAGACCTCAAAATGGTGGTGATTGTGTATGTACTTGCATGAATATGCAAGGAAAATTACGCAAATTTTCCTAAACAGGAAAAAAAATAATGAATTCATCATACAATATGAAAAACTTTGTTAGAATGAAGTGAAGGTGAAATATCCCTCACGAAAGCAAGTATTATCAAGCACCTCAATACTCAATGCTATCAATCTGTCCAACAAATTCTAATTTATAATTCAATCAAATGAACATGATGTAACAAATAAACTATAAATTATGTAAAGATGTGCAATATTTTACAGAATGTTGTTACCAAGCGCAACAGCAACACTTTCCAATTATGTAAAAGAAGACAAATCACCATCCTCACCTTAGGCTCAACAGGTGGTGAGACAGGAAATGTGTTCATGGATCTTTTGGCATCATCTTCAGATGAACAATCAGAACATAAAAAGTGATCTAATTTCTTTGCTTGCTCTATGGTCATGCCCATACAAGAAGGATGAAACCTGCTAGGATAATAGTATTCATACATTACAAAACATAGAAAAGAACAAAGAATATTATGTGCAGAATCTGCAGATAAAAAACAATAATATTGTGAATGAATAAAATAAATAACTTAGAACGAAAGCTGAAGTCTGAAAAAAATTCAAGACCACCAAAACTGAAAAGAAAAAGAAAGAACAGAATAAATAAATACATAGATAAATAAAATGAAAAAGATATAAGCATGGATCATATTGTGCATTCTGAAATTATTTTACTTTTCTTATAAATTTACAAAAAAAAAAGGAAAATATAAAGAAATAGAAAACTGAATTTACCATGTTTACCACTTCAGACAGTGTAGACAATAAATGGTATTATCAGATTCACCTCCTGAGTGACATACATATCCTACAATTAATGGCTATTTAACCTGAATATTGACATAAATATAAATTCAAAAGCCCCTTAAATATGTTTTAAATAACCAAAATAAGTATTAAGACAAATTGATTCAAATGCCATTATCAAATAAACCAGAAGATTCATAAAACAAAACATTAGATGTGAACACGGAAAGGACTCAATGCTAAGATTTGAATCAAATGATTTAGATTCATTATTTGAATCACTAATCATACCATAAATGGTAAGATTTTGAAAAGCAACAATTCCAATATTCTAGTAATTCAGATAAAACCCTTTTTATGCTACATTTATAGCATTGCAACCTAAAATCCTTTTAGCACCAAAGTGGGTCCCAAATGATATAACTTCACAATTCCTACATTGGATATTTGCTTCAGATACTGCACTTCTGGTTCCCTCTGATGTATCTCCAAGTAATAATCAGAAGTAAAACATCATTCAATAATTTATTCTACTTTGAGAAGAATTATTCAACAACTTGTCAACAAAATAATAGTGGAAACAATGACTGAAAAAATATTGTAGCTATAATGCGAGAAAAAATAAATAAAAAATGACCAAAAAGGTAGAATTAACTTCTCTTGTATTGTCAGATTCTTTAGGAACTATGCTACATCGTGTTTCATTTAAAAGTTCCGATAGTTCATTGTATAGTTGAGTTGGAAATTTAGGCCATTTTTTGAAAGGATGGGGAATGTCCATAACAGTTACAACAGAGATTGGGCAATAAATGCAATCGTTTTTTGGATCAATATTTAAATGAAATCACATTTCACTCGTAAGGCTTTATATTATGAAACACTCAGTGAGGAAATATGTCAAATAACTAGGTACAAGAAAAGGGTAAGTTCTAAGTTCTACATATAAATATGCAGCAATAATCATCCTTCAATGGTTAAATGTCTACACGTGCTATCAAAATCTAGTTCTCTGTCACAAATTCCCAAATGTCTACATATCTACATGTGCTATTAAATGAGGGATGAGGCCCAAAGACAATAGATCCTAAACAAGCCAACATAAAATACAGCAACTCTTTAAATGCTTTATTGATATAGAGGCCAAAGATGGCCTCTATAAAGTCCATGCAAATTCGTATGGCAATCTGAAGATCTAGACGTTGATCATTAAGTCCCTTAAAAATGTATAAAAGTGAAGCAAAATTAGCATTCAAATCTTGAAGAAAATTCAATATTAAAGAAAACGCCAAACCATATTCGACATCTGAAACTTCAATGAACCATCAAGCATGGCTATGCAGATTAATGTAACCAAATAGAAAACCGTTTCCAATTAAAAAAATGCAAATAGAAAAAAAAAAAAAACGTAAAAGAAAGATAGAAAATAGATGAATAAATGGACAAGTTGCATGCCACTGTTGATGAAAAGAAAATTCCAAGGAAAGAACAAATTTACCAGTCTTTACATCCTTCACACTGAACCATGAGATCATCGGGATTGTAAGGCATCTCGCACTTGCAATACCTGCAAGCTAAAATCAATTAAAAAAAAAGATAGACACCAGTAAGAAGTTCAACAGAAGTAAAAACCAGAAACTCACACTGCCACTCGGTCAGGGGTGAATCCCCCGGTGGCAGCCTTGTACTCAAATCGACAGAAGTAGTCCTCGGCACCGACATTCTCGAGTTTGGTGTAGTTCTTAAACGAGTGGACAGTACACTTCCCCTCGATGGTATGAGCACTTTGCACATCATAGTGGTCCGACAGAAACAACTCCTTCGCTCCATGGAACTGCCTCCGCCCTCCAATCGATTCCTCCGGCCGATAGTACCACCTCACCCGGACCTTCACATTATTCCGATTATCTGCTTCGATCTTTTCCACTCGAGCCACATAAGGAGGCTTATCGGAGTCCGAGGGGCGCATCAAAACACAATCTCCCGCTGCGAAAATCCGTAAAATCTCTAAAACTTAGAAGAATAAGAAGAAGAAAAAGTATTCGTCCAAACATGTTTAATCCAACACCAGGCGATGATTGAAGAAAAATAAAATATAGGAATTTTACCTCTGACAACCTTGTTGGTGCCTTTGATCGTATAGGAATCCAAGTCTTTCTTCCCTGGCTTCGTCTTCGCCATGACTATTGATCTCCTCCGCTTCGGTTCACAGTAGGTCTTCGATGGAGAGAGCAATTTACCAAGTCCCAGTCAATAGCGTTTTTATAGGAGAAATCAGAAACCGGAATGCATTGGTTGAGAAAAAATCGATGAAAGAAATGGTGGTTAAAACCCTAGATTTTGGGAAGGGACGTAAACAAAAACCCTAAAACTCCTCCGAGGGAGAACTGACGGCATGAGTGTGAGAAGAGATGGCTGATTTCCGACGAGGGCTTATGTTCGCATGCGAGCATGACCAGCACGGCCACATCATCATACCATACATATGTACATAATACATACATCCATGCTGATGCTGCCGTATGTGTTGATATTCTCATACGTATATGGCGCAGAATACGAGGAAGACGACGACGACAATCGACAATGTGTCGAGCTTTCCAAGGTCCAAACAGAAAAGACAATGCGTCGTGTGCTGTTTGAGGTGGATCGGATCCACTCACTCTGTTCCAGCTGTTCATTGAGTGGGTCGTAGATTCTCAATCAGGTGGTTGGTGACGATCAACGGAATCCACAATGGACGGCTTTGATTGTTGTTTATTTCGTGACAAGAGATCAATGCGTCTCTGGACTCTGGTTGGATTCTTTGCGGCTTGGACCGTTCAATGTGGATAAGAAAAAGAAATCACGAATCGGTGTTGGGATGGAAAGTAATTCAGAGAAAGTATTTCGGAATGTAGCGTGTTGACGAAGGCTCGACCTTGTTTTTTGTAAGCTGGTTCGGCTGTTTGAAGCAGGGGAGCAAGTCGGACGAGTTGGGTCGGGTTTAAGCTAAACCTTGGCACAATTCTAACTTGCTCACAATTGGATTTAAGCTTTGAGTTTGAATAAATCTCGAGGTCAAGTCCTATATATTCAGTTTAGGTATGTAAGGGAGGAGAGAGGGCCAAAACATAAAAAACGTGGAAAAGGGAGCCAAAAGCTAATAGGTATGAAGGTCAAAATATAAGTGGAATTTAAATGGGTTTTATGGAAATTTCGAAGGCAAGGGGGTTATGGCTCCCCTCACCACCCTCTAACTCCGCCCCTGTCCCTGTAAAACGAAGGTTTTCAAGTCAAAGCCCCCCTCCGGTCAGACACGTGGCCTTCCAAAATTTTAAAAAAAAAAGTAGACATGTGTCAACAATCTGAGTAGTGGTCGTTCAAAATACAGCCCATTACCATGCAGAGCCGTGTGTCATTCTAACTCTTTTCTACAAAACCTGAGAAATGAGAAACTCCCACTCTCAGTCATTTCCTAAAAAAAAGGAGAATATGCAACCATTTAATTTTCATCTCTGAACAATATGCAACTTCATCTAACCGAACTATCTATCTTTCAGCACATTCAGAGAGGTTTGCATCTCAGAGAAGTCTGCAACTCAGAGAAATCCGAACTTCAGGAAACCTTCATTCGGTTAGTCTCTTATCCCAACTATCAACGTTTCTTCCCATTTAAATCTCATCTAACCGAACTTTCAATGTTTCTTCACATTCAGAGCAATCTGCAACTTCAGAGAACTTTGCAATTGAACTCTACAACTCATATAAGTCTGCAACTTAGAGAAGTTTGAAGTTTGAACTTCAGCAACTTCAATCGGTTAGTCTATTATATGCTCTGCTTTTTTTAGTAGTTATTTAATGTTAAATAAGTTAGCTCTGTTCAATAGTTAGGGTTTAGTAAAATCAGTAAATTGGTTAGCTCTGTTCACCAGCGGCTGTTATCACAACCAAATTGTGTTTTCCATTTTTTTTTATTTTTTTCTTCTTCCATTATTATTTTGTTCTGATTTTTCGAATATTTAATACATCTATATGTTGAAATGGGTGATAAATCACCCTTCTTTGACCTCTAGAAGGTGTCTGTTCACTGCCGGCTGTTATCACAATCTGATTGTATTTTCAACTTTTTTTTATTTTTTTCAAATTTTATTGTTATTTTCTTCTAATTTTTGAATATTTAATGCATTTATATGTTCAAATGGGTGATAAATCACCCTTCTTTGAGGCCTCTTGAATGCGTGTGTATGGTTAGCTTCGTGACTCTGTCAAGAGAATGAACCATTGGAGTCGGGTTAAGAAGATGATTTTATGTGGATCAGGTCGGGTCGGGTCTGAGCCAAACTGTCAATTTAATTGTTCCTTACTAATGGCCCGGTTCGTCTGAACCGGTTTAAGGTATTTAAACCGAGTCAATTCCCAACAATTGTTGCTTATTCATTATTGTGTTTAATTCATTCAGTTGTTGCTTATTAATTAAGGTATTTAATTAATCACTACTACTTAAATACACATAATTCATTACAAATAATTAACAACGATGAAAGTAATGATAATTATTAATTCGGATTGATAATTAATTACATCGGTTCGTGTTGAAAACAAACCCAGTTTAATTAATTAATTAAGTGATACATATATAAGTAATCTTAATTACTATTATTATTATTATTATTATTATTATTATTATTATTATTATTATTATTATTATTATTATTATTATTATTATTATTATTATTATTATTATNTACTATTATTATTATTATTATTATTATTATTATTATTATTATTATTATTATTATTATTATTATTATTATTATTATTATTATTATTATTATTATTTCATTATAATTAATATAAGTAACTATGGATAGCAAATGTGAATTCATTGAATGAATATTGCTATAATTATTATGATGTACACTAAATTATTAGAGATGGAGTTTATTTGGATTAGTTTTGATAGACGTTGATATTGGTGGAGTTGGCGAGTGAATTACATGGTTTGATGAACGGGATCTCTATCATCCCCCCTAAAGCTGGACGGGGATTTATTGACATGCAGCGTGCGAAGGAGATGAAGAAGACGAATAGCTAGCAGACTTTTAGTGAATAGGTCATCTACCTAAGCATCAAAAGGTACATGGCGGACATCCAGAAATTTGCGGCCAACTTGTTGTCTGACAAAATGATAGTAGGTGTTGTCACACCATACCACAAGGGTGAAGAGAATTGGAATATGAATCTCTTTGAATAAGGAGCACAACCAGGAGACTTCCCCTATAGTGTGAGCAAGACAACGATACTCAACCTTTGTAGATGAGCGAGCAACAATGGGCTGTTTCTTGGCACACCAAGAGATAGAATTGGATTCGAGAAAAACACAAAAGCCATTAGTAGACCATTGATCCAATGAGCAACCAACCCAGTTAGCGTCACAAAAGACACTCAACTGAATTGGGCTTGGTTTGGAGAAGAGCCTGGAGGAGATAATACCTTTCAAATATTGTAGAATCCACTTAACAAAAATTAGGTTGGCCTCGGTTGGGTGTAGAAGGTGCTGATAGGCTTGATTGACAAAGAATGCAATGTCAGACCTTGTGAGAGTCACGTATTGGAGCGCACCAACCAAACTACGATAAGTGGTTGGATCCTTAAGTGGTGGTCTTGAGGGAAACATCAAGTTTTGTAGAAGATGTTGGAGTGCAAGCGGGTTTACAGCCACCCATGTGATATGTCTGCATGATCAAGCAGATCTAGAATGTATTTAGATTGGTGAAATGAGAGTCCAGCACTGGTGTGATGGACTTGAAGCCCAAGAAAGTACATTAATGGGCTCATGTCTTTCATCTTGAGAGATAAGCTGAGCTACTAAATGAGAGAAGAAATGAAGGTACGGTTGTTGCCTGTTATAATCATGCCATCAATATATAGTAATAGTAAAACATGAATGCCACCTTGATGATAAATGAATAGAGATGGGTCAAATGGTGAAATGAGAAACCCAAGCTCAGGAACAATGGACCTAAATTTGTTATACCAGGCACGAGGGGCTTCACAAAGCCTATAAATGGGTTTATGCATACAACAAACATGATGAGGATGTGTTGGGTCCACATAGCTAGGGGGTTGGGCCATATAAACCTTCTCTTGGAGGCCACCATGCAAGAATGCACACTCTACATCCAGTTGATGGAGTGGCTAGCCAAGGGTAACTGCTAATGAGAGGACAACATAAACCATAGTGTGTGCTTCACCGTAGGGCTGAAAGCTTCAATGAAATCAATGCCTAGTTGCTGATGAATCCTTTAGCAATGAGATAGCCTTTGAATCTATGTACAAAGCCATCTGGGTTGCGCTTAATGCGATACACCCACTTGCAACCCACCGCGTTCATTAATTCTAGGTCGGTAAGGGACCAATGTCCATGTCTGTTGTTGATGTAGAGAGTTCAGCTCTTGGTCCATGAAAGTATGCCACTCAAGGTGTTTGGACGCTTGGGTATAGGAGGTCAGTTCAACAAGACCAAAGGCAATAAGGGCTGATGGTAGAGAGTATCTAGTGGTGATTGGGTGGTGGTGGGCCAGATGGGAGGGAGATGAAGATGAGTGCATACCTAAGGGAGGCAGATGAAGATAAGTGCATACCTAGGGAAGGTACGGTGCGGGCTTGGGCTGTAGTTATTGACTCAGGTAGGGCCACGATGGTTGGGTCCATATTTATGCTCAACCACACCATTTTGTTCGAGAGCATATGGGGATAGGAGAGTTGGTATGTGATACCATGAACATTGAGAAAGGAGGAAAACGGTGTGCTGGAGAATTTCACCTCCCCCATTACTACGTAAAACCTTAATTTTGGAGTTAAAAGAAATTTTCAACATTGGCTTTGAAAATACATCATATAAATCTGATTTTAGGCATAATGGAAATAGCCAGGAGTATCTAGTGCGTAATCATCAGCAAATAAAACATAGTATTGAAATATGGAAATAGATAAAATTGAGTCGAGCCCCACAAATCACAATGTAAAAGTTATAGAATGATTAAACACAGTGGAGAAGAATCAGCAACAACTCTTGCCTAGTTGACAGGACGAACACGAACACACATTAGGACTAGTTTTATTTTTAATGGATAAGTGGAAAATTTGTAGGATGGATGGCCTAAGCGATGATGCTAGATAGCTTTTAAGAGATGACGAGCGGTGGGTGTAGGCAATGGGGGTTTTAATTTCTAAGGTGGGACGAAAGGGGTAGAGACCTCCTTCAGTCTATCCTTGGTGCAAGATCCTCTCAGTTGCCTTGTCCTACACAGTGAAGCCAAACACACCAAAAGTAAATTGACAATTGCTATCTTTAGAAAATTGAACATAAACTGAAAGCAGATTTGTAGAGGCATATGGGAAATGGAGAACATGATTTAAATAAAAAGTAGAGGAAGGGGAAGCTAGAGTGGTGGTGCCAATGTTCCTTATACCTAAGCCATGC